CCTGTCAGAGCTTATTGCTTAAGCTTCTTGTAGAGAAGTGACAGGTGGTTTTGGGTTTGATTTTTTTTTTTTTTTATGTGTTTTTAATGTGAGGGGTTTTTTTTGTTTTGTTTTGTTTTTTTGTTTTAAATAAAAGAACAGAATTCATAGGGTGAGAATGAATTCTATGGAAAATCTGCAGCTGTGGAATTACAGGGAATTGCTGGTACGTATCTCTGACAGTATACAAGCGAAAGATTTAGTTTTATTTCAGTTTTTTGAATGATGCCTTTGAACACTAGTTACATTATTGTGGAAAGCTGCTCATCCTGTGATATAAAGCAGGGAGTTTAGGCTGTGTGAAATATTTAAGTATGTTTTAAGGAAATGCTTATGTTACATCTGAGGAGAGGTTGAGAATGTATACAATATACAGTTGCAGGACATAAACCCTTGCTTTTGCAGTTAGGTTTAGATTTCAATCAAACAGGTTCTTTGGGTTTTTTTTTTTTTTCCTGATGTAGATTGCATTTTCTCTCCTTGTTTCACTGTTGAATCTGTGTGTTAGTGTTATGAAGAAACATTAAAATCAGCTTTCAGACAAAAATTCAATGACTTCTAATGCTTCAAGATATTTGAACAGTTGACATGTTACTGTATGACAAATACAAGAGTATTATCCTTTACAAATGTTTTAACTTAATTTTAAGTTATGAATAAGCTTACTGATTTTCTTGCAATTCCCTGTAAAGTTGTACTGTGAAAGCAAGTACTGTAAAGTTAGGGAGATGCCACATACTGTTTGTGCTGATTAAACTATATGATTCCTGGATTTAAGAGCAAAATTTTTACTGAGCCTTGAGAATAGATGATGTATTGCAATAATAATGAACAAATTATATTTTATAAAGCATAAAATATATTGTTGCATTGGGGTATTTAGGGATAGAAATGAAGTAACTGCTTTGAAAGTGTTTTTGAAGATAATGGTGGGTTTTTTTTCCTACTCTGAGATTTCCTTCCCTTCAACCTGACAACTGTACTTGAGTTTATTTTTTTATGCACAACTTTTTATATAAAATACCATTTTAATTGTCATGGTTGATGGGTTAGTTTTTCTTCCTTTTATTTCTTTATGTACGCTGACTATTTAGGCCTGAGGCAGGAAGCCATTCATCTGTGTTCACTCATCAGTGTTGGACTTAGAGCTACCATGCACTTTGTATCAAACCTATTTCATAAACTCAATTAAGTGTCTGTAGCAGGGCTTTCTTGATCAGACAGATATCTTGAAATCAACAACTTCTATTTGTTTAGCAAGTCTAGCAAAAAAAAAATCAAAGCTTTTATAAAATGTCCTCTACATGAAAGTATGCAGGAATATCAATTTTATGCAAAGAATTTTTATCATCCCATGGCAGGTTCCACATGCATGTCCTTTTCTAGCAGTTTTTGGAGGTATTCTGTATGAAGACATTACAAAAAGCTCATTTGTCTCACATGACAAGTCTTTTTAAAGCTTCTTTTGAAGTATTTTAAGTGCTAAGACTACCAATTTGTAGATGATGCAAATGTGCATAATTAGTGTAAATCAGGACAGGAAAAATATTTCTTCTAATGATACAAAACAAGCTTGAGTGTTTGTGAAAGAACTCTCTCTAGGCTGATTGCTTCCTGCTCCTCCCTCTATTCTCTGGTTTATAAAGTTAAATGCAGCTGCAGAAAAATATCGACAGAAAATTGTCAATAGATTATTTAAAAAGCAGCTGTAAGGCCAGCAAAAATATAAAGTTTTTTTTTTAACATTTTTTTTTTTTTTTTTTTTTTTTTTTTAGTATACAATCTCCACGATAGAAAATCCTTTCATGTAAATTTTGGAGATTAAAAATGAATTATATTTCTTTTCTTAAAATATGTATAAAAAGAAAAATAATTTTTCTACTTGCAAAGTTAAGTCAAAAGAAAAAAGTTTTAATTCTGTTTCACTAATGTGTGTGTAAGTGTGGGAATCACAATATGATTTCTCAGTATATAGAATTTTAAAATAATTTTTCATTTGTGATACAGGTTAATGTACAGTTAATGAGGCAAAGATGAATGAAACAAAAGTTCTATGATGTTTGTCTCAGTTATAAATGCATTTCTAAAAGTTATGTCGGCTCTGAATTTGCATCATTGTACTCCAAAGCAAATGTAGGTTTTCAGTGAACATCATGTCCTACATGTAGTGAATTAAGTATCTTGCACATACTTGGTTTTGTTTGCCAGTTCTTAGCAAATAAAACTGTTGTTGCATAGTAAGACTAAAACGAATTTTCCTGGTGTTGGGGATAGAAAATGAATTTTGAATAGTTGCTTTGGGAGAGGGATAAAGGGATTCTACCTTTAGTTGTCTGACCTAAATGTATTAAAAATAAGAGCATTGATGAAGAACAATTGCAGTGCTAAACTGTACTCATTTGCATATCAAATGGTGTAATAATATCTATTATAGATTAAGCATTTGAATCAAAGAATCAGAGTGGAAAGGACCTTAAAGATCATCCTGCTCCAACCCCCTGCCACGGGCAGGGTTACCTTCCAGCAGACCAGGTTGCTCAAAGCCCCGTCCCAAGCTGGTCTTGAACACTGTCAGGGATGGGGTAGCCACAACTTCTCTGGGCAACCTGTTCAAATGCCCATTACCAAATGTAAAAAAAATTGGTGTCATTATATTGTTATATATATCATACATGCTAGGGATGGAAAGTATTTCCTAGCTCACTGTTTTTTTTTACCACAGTTCTTGGCTACAGTAAGCTCTTGTAGTTCTTGTAGTAGTTTTTACTGTAGTTACTGTTGTTTCAACCGTTAAAAGTGCCCATATGGGGAAGTACCTGCTGGCTATAGGTTGTTGCCAAGGCTGGGGCAGTTCTTAGAACCTGAGTTGTGCATTGAGATGTGCAGTCATCTCTCTGTTCTCCTTACAGTCATTCATAATTCGTGGGAGATAAGCTGGTTATTTATTCAGCATTTTGCATATTACACTTCTGAAGATATGTGCTGGGTACACTATACCCAATATAGCAAAGTTTTCATACAGCCAAGTTGTGTCTGTGTTGTGACCGTTGCATGAGATGTTTGATCTAACGAGTCTTGTAATCTCTCTCTAGTATTGGTTCACTTTACATATGTAAGTTCTCGTTTACATATGTATTTTAATAACCATCAGGGTTACAAAATAAACATGTATTCAGCTTTTCTCTATCAGATTTTTTTAAATTTTTTTTGGGGGGGGGGGTGGATTTCAGTCTTTAAATGCAATGCTTACTACTTTCTACTGTAGGAGGAGATAGTTGTTTCTCCGAAACTGTAAAAAGCCACTGTCAGTAATGTGAAGTTATGTATTTCACACATACTTTGAAGTGTAAGGAACTTCTCACGTAATGAAGAAAAGATCCTTTTCAGTCTAATTTTAAATTATGTGGTTTTATTCCACAAGAGCATATTTTGAAGATGTAACTTGATGAAGTATTTTATGTGGGTGACTTGAGATACTAAAAATAGATGGGTATCTAAATAGAATCAGGAGATTTTTACTCAATCTTTCTTTATGACACACCTTGAGCATTAGTTACTAAAAATCTTTAATGACATTCACTATGTTAATTTTGCAAATTCTATGTTATTTAATCTAATCACTATCAGATTTGAAGTATCTAAATCAAGGGGCTGTGGAGATCTTGCTAGAAAAACTTTGCCTTATCCCATACTTTTCTCCTGCGAAGCACAAATACAAACTATTCCACAGGGCTCAGCGCAAATCTCACTTACCAGGAGCTCCTAACTGCAGGTGTGTTACAAACCCTGCTGGGACTCCAAACAGTGTAAGTGCTGTGTACTTGCTTCTCGTTATCTAAGCCCTGTGATGATTCTGTTAGAGATGGATATGTGCCTCATGTACTAGCTTAGGACAAAATTGTATTTTTCTTTCCTGTCATTTTACTCACTGCCACATATGTGAAAGTGAAGCATGATACACTATTTTCTGCAGTTTTGGAAAGCTTTTAAATGATTCATAACTTCTTTATATAACTGGTTTTACTACAGATTTTAGCAGCATGCAGATTTTATAGGCCAGGATCCTTCCTGGAGATTTCAGTGGCCTTCAAGGTGAAAATAGAATTGAAGGACTGTAACAGTGCTTTTAGTGAAGAAGTTTTGGTTTTAATTCCATCACCTTTGTAATGGCTACCCATACCTTTTTTGTCTGGAGAACATACTGCTCTAGTGTGTTGATCCTTGGAAAGAAAAAGCAAGAGGCAAGAAATGTCTCCTTGAAAGTGCACTGTGAAATCAATTTGTCCTCTCATGTGCAGAGTCTGTCAAAAAGAGGAATTTGTATAAAACATGTTATCCTTTAAATTCGAAACCCCAATTCTTTGGGGATATGATTGCAGAGACAAAATTAGGATCAAAATCACTGGAATTTGGACTCCTGCAATTCTGTGCTACTCAGTGACAAAGGTTTTAAGTAGATTTTTTTTTTTGTGACTATTCCCCCCCCCCATGAAGTATATAAATTTTTAATTCACATTTCACCATGATTTTGGAGCCCATTTTGTTTATGCTGGGTATACTGTATCAGCTTTTGAGAAAGGCTTTCTTAACTTACGTAGCTTTGGTTTTCCGCTCTTTGCTCATGCTTATTCATTTTAAACCACTATTCCCATCTTTATTCACTCAGGAGAGTGGTTGGAGAGGAGCACAATACAGTGATTTACCAGAAGCCTTGTCTGTAGCTGTGCTGATAACCTGATACTTGTGGGCATAGAGTTTTTCCTCAGTGGGGGAAAAAATGGCAGGCCACTACTTACTTAAAGGGCTGATACTGGCGGCTGATAAACTATCATCTTATTAATATCAAGATCAGCTCCTAAATTAATTTCAGTAATTCTTCTGAAATGGTAATACCACTCAGACGGTTCAAGAAGTACCTGCAATTTCTTTGGGAAAGTGACCACGATGTTTTTGTCCTTTAGGTGGCAGCATATGACTTCACTCTTCCAGTTAATACTCCTCTGGCTGAGTTCCCATTGGCACAGACAACCCGTGGATCTGTAACTTCTGTGAGATCTATGAAGAAAGTTCTTGGTCCTTCACCACAGATGGTGACTGTGGCTGTTCCACTCTGCAGAGTTAAAGCAGTTGGTAGGTAAACTAGGGACTTATGCTCATGGTGGATACTTACATTTGTAGTGGTTTTTGCTTGTAGTCTGATTGCAGAGGATTACTAGTTAAAGAAAAATTTATTGATGATTGCATAATTTGTAAATTTTCTGGAAACTTGCAAAATTTTCAAATTTTTATTCGTATTTTTAAATGTGTAAACCTGAACTTTCTTTACATAATTATGATGTACCGGGAAAAAATATATATTTTTTAATAGAGCCATTTGCCTAATGGGCAATAAAAATTAGTTTACCAAACCTCAATTTTTGTTTCTATTATTCATTATTATTTCTAGGCCTCAATCATGCAGACCCTAGTATTTACAGCAGTTCATCTGAAAAGTGTGGAAAAGTAGTGTGTAATTCATACTCCTTTTTTTCTTTACCCTGTCAAAACTAGGAGCTCTAGCTGTATTTAAAATTCCTTGAAAATGCCTCTGACTGGCACTGATCCAATTTGAGAGAGCATGTGGTAGGGTAGTTCGTTTGCTTTTGTGTGCAGAACTACACCCTTCTTCTGGCCTGTCAGCTTTTTAATGGCCAAAGTTACAGGCCATTTGCCTGCAGCAAGAAATAGATATTTTAAATGACACTTCTCTGCTTCTCCTGGAAATAATCTTTTGTTCTCTTTGGTCTCCTGCCTGATCCTTAGTCATAGACCTATGCATTGCGAATGCTTGAATCCACTAGCTTTCCTCATCCCAGTTTTTAATGTGTAGTCCCTGTTGATTTGACTTCAGTGCAGAGTGTCTTCCTGTTTAAACATCTTGGGAGCACTGAAGCAGGCTTGGCCAATTAATGTAGGGTAAAAGCAAGTCCAATTTATTATATTTTATCTATGGCTTACTTTTTTCTTTGTCCTTCTCTGTAGGGTTTAAATTAAGTCTTTCTTTTGAGATCTTTTAAAATATCAGAGAAATCTGAGAGACCTTCTTTAGATTCTGTGATGGAAGTAAATTAATACTAAGCACTTTGTGCTGGGTTCAGCTACAGCAGTCATTTTTTTCTCCGTCTTAGTAGCTGGTGTGGTGCTGTGTTTTTGACTTTCAGCCTGGGAACAACGCTGATAGCACCGATGTTTTTAGTTGTTCCTAAGTAATGTTTACTCTGACCAAGGACTTCTCTCAGTCTCATGCTCTGCCAGGCAGGAGGAGAAGCCGGGAGGAAGCAGAGACAGGACACCTGACCCAAACTGGCCAAAGGGGTATTCCATACCACAGCACGTCATGCCCAGTATAGAAACTGGGGGGAGTTACCCGGAAGGCCCAGATCGCTGCTCGGGTCAGGCTGGGTATCAGTCGGCGGGTGGTGAGCGGTTGTGTCCTTTTCCCTTGTTATTCCTCTTGTCATTATTATTGGTAGCAGTAGTGGTTTGTATTATACCTTAGTTACTGGAGAGGGGAGGTGCATCCCTCCGATTCTCCTCCCCATCCCTCCGGGAGCGGGGGGAGGAGGGAAAAGGTGGGGGAGTGATCGAGCGACTGCGTGGTTCCAAGTTGCCGGCTGGGCTTAAACCACGACACACTTCTAAGTATCTTTAGTTAAAGAACATGTAGAATAAAGATAACTGTACCTATATATATGAGACTATTAGAAAGCGTGTTTCTGAAAAGATCATGAATCAAAGTGACAAACTGCTAGTACAGAAGTAATTTATGTAACTTGAAGAAGAAGAAAATCTTTATTTCCTTTTCCCTTTGTTTATGGAATAATGAATCAATGCAATCAGTAGGTCTTGCTAATAAATGATAAGCCTATCTAAATTTTATCACAAATTTGTGCTTCTGCCACACAGAATTTCTTTGAAGTACCATTACTATTACTTGTAGGCCAACAACAAGTAATCATAGTATTAAAGTGATTATATAATATTTTTAATTCTGTGAAATAGTTGGAAAAAAAAGGTGTGACTTCTATTTAAATGTAAGTATTTGAATTGCGTTCTTACTGGGAATTTTGGTGGATTGGGAAGAGGGAGAGAAGTCTGAAGAAATATCTTGACCACTCAGTATGTCACATGATCATATAGATGTAGGTAACTAGCCAAATTTTTTGTACTGTTAAAAAGAACTTGATTATTTTACTGCATTCTGATAACTTAAAATTTATATCTGTTACTGATTCATCATTTCAGATTATCACTTTAAAAACTAAACGTGGGCTAAGATTCATCTTACAAGTTCTAAGTTTTGATTTGACAAATAGGCCTAATTCTTTAGTGCTTTATGACACATTCATTTTCCACTAAGTATTTTATTTTCTTCCCTGTAACAGTTTTTGTGGTTGACTGGGATTCAGACTGCACAGGACAGTGCAGTTGCTACTTAAATCAATAGATTATATCTGATATTTGCAGTCGGGATTTTTCTGAGAAAAGAATCACAATAATCTCAGAGCAGTCAACTGAGTCTTTTATCATGGATTTTTTTTTTTTTTTAATTAAAAAAAAAAAAAGGTTGTAGACTGTTTCAGCACCTGAGAAGGAAAGCAAGTCTCTTAAATATTTGTAAGACGTTTCCCTTGGAAACTGCTTATTGGTATGTAAGAAAGCACTGAAAGAGTAAAAAAGCCCAAAGCAAAATAGAAAACTCAGGTGGAAAAGCACAAGCCCTACCTCTGCCAGACTTAAAGGAAGAGGACATATTACCAATGTAGTGACCCCGTGTGAGCTCTTACTTTTTTTTTCATGGGCTAGATAATTTCCTTTCCTGCCTATTTTTTCAGTCATGCCACGTTTTCCTTGCACAGGCACTTTCTATGAGAGGTGAGGGCTTCATGAGTGGACATAACATAATTGCATATTGGTGGAAGCAGATTAGGTTCCTAGTTTGAAACAATATTAGTTTATATGTCTGTGCTTTAGGAAATATGGATAATATTAATGTTTACTTTATGTGAGATATGTGATTAGGAATTTCTTTGGGCTTTTTAGGAGAAGAGAATTGATCAACACCCTTCTTCATGAAGTCAGAAACAAAATTGTAGATTTTAATAAAAGGATACTTTATACTTGCTAGGTTCATTTCCAGTGTTCAATCAAGATACAGAATGAGGCTATGGGAAAATATCCCTTTGTTTTTCTAAATCTTCACTTTAAACTTCATCCTTTGTGACAGTTTCTTTGTTTCAGCTATACAAAATTAAGAAAAATGCCATTTTTTTGCGAAATATTTCAAGTTTTTTCTGATTATTACCATCACAAATGCATTCATCTGCAATAGAAAGACCATGTGGGTCTCTGTTTATAGCATCTTTATATGAAGAAGAGATGCTGTAAGTTTGGTAGATGTAAAATTTAAATAATGATAATGTAACTAAGGAATCGTAATAGGACAGAAAGTAAAATCACAGTAATTTTTTATATAGCATGGGAACAACAGAAAGAAAATACAGCTTTAAAACAAGAAGAGAAATATTTCTGCAGAAACAATGATTTTATGAAAGGACTTTGAGGAAATATTTGTCAAAATAATGCTATATAAACAAATTATTTTTTTCCAACAGTACTTAAGTCACCATTGGAGTTCTCCACGAGGGAACTTAAATTTTCACAACATTCAAGTGGCTTATATTTCAATTTTGCTGAGGAAAGTCTGAGTTCTCAGGTATGTAATCACAGGTATTTTTATAGTTATTTTTGGCTATAGCTTTTAACTACTTACAAATGACAGACAAAAGAATACAGATTAGGAACTCAAAATTCAGTCACGTTTCAAATACATGATTTAAATATAGGCAGTGGCAGTGCAGTCATGTAATTGGGGTACCCTGATGGTCCATACAGTTAAATTGCTGTCCCTATGTGTTGCATGGCACAGCTTTGTGCCTACCGGAACTCTACCAGAAAATTCCTCATCATGATTTAGGGCTTAATGGGAAACAGGCATTAAACAGGATAATTGTTCAGGGCCATACTGGTTTGGAACAAACAGAGTCTGGCTGTATGAATGCAAAACTTACTAGAACATAGTTTATTTTTTCTAATTCCCAAAGTCTTTGTTTAGAAATTATAGAAAATTATTGTTGACAAGGATGAAAACACTTGAAACTCTTTTTCAAGTATCTTCAGAAAGCAATGATAATACAAAGTCAAGGTCTTTTCCTAGCTATGGATGTGTCAGGAGATGAAAGAGTAACTCCGAGGTGAAGGAAAGGAAGTATTTTTTTGTTCCACTCTCATCTAATTGAGTTGAAATAATGGTTTTTGAAAAACTATTCTGAACTTCTTGCTTTTTCCACATATCTGCCTGTAAATCTAGAAGTCACGAGCCATATGTTTAGTGCTTGCTGTGCTTCATTAGGAAAAACTCCTAATTTCTGTTTGGCTAAGCACTCCCACCATGACCCTTTCATCTAGCTACCTTGCATAAATGAGGTGGGTTTTTTTTTATTCTGGAGAAAAAGTATTGCTCTTTATGAATTTGGAGAGTGACTGGAAAGCATCTAGTCTGAGCTAATAGGCATACTCATCACCTCACAGTTGTAATAAACTGGGCTTCATAGCTTTCTAGTGCTTTCTTGCTTTTGCTCTGATCTGATTGCAAAAAGAATGCTTAGGGTAGAACAATATTAAAGGGTAGAACAATTTAAAAGTATCATAGTGTTTGCTGCTTTCCCTCTTTCATCATGTCTTCCTTTCTCTTCAAATATTTACAGAAGCTTGACCTGAAGAATATCTCAAGGCAGCAGTTGACATGGAAAATGAATTGTGATGATGCAGGCAAAAATACAGAAGGTGATATTTTTAAATTTAGTCTGCAGACTGGATTTCTTGATCCTGGACAAAAAGTCAGTATTGCTGTAGTCTTCTGCCCTTGTAAGTAATTTTCTGAGTTCTTCTACAGATAGTTTGACAAATATACCATTTTCACAGATTTGTTTAAATGACTTTTTATGATGAATCATAACTAGCACTTGTTTTGATTAACTTCCAGTTGAAATGACTAAATAATGAACTAAAATGCCAAAAGAAAGGTTTGT